CGGTAAACTCTTGTTGATTTAAATCTAACATTACTATGATCCTTATGATGTCTCCAAGATGAATGCAGCATACAGAGCTTCCTGCCATGCAGCAGTGGTCAGTCTGACAATGATAATGCTATGAATAAATTAATGCCAAAGGACTCCACAACCACCGGTGACTGGTAACAGGATTCATACATTTACTAGATCAAATGTCTTGTGCAGGTCAAGAGCAACAGCAAAATTACTAGTAACTGCCAAATGTGTGGTGGGTTGTGTGAAAGAACCTGGTAGTTTCAGTCCATTTCCTGACTGATGGACAGGTGTCTACAATGCACAGTACAGTCCACACAACTGACAACTCAAAGCATCTCAGACAGACCAAGGACTGTGAAATGCTCTGGCTGTAAAGTGCAAAGCTCAAAGACCTCTGTAACCCAGCTTTACCTGAATCAACCTCCACACAAAAACACAGCACGTGAAAAAATCCATTGTTGCCTCTGGCTGTATTTCAGTAATTACTTACTCTCAGAGTTCAAGCCTTGCTTACTTCCCGTCTGACTCTGTGTGACGTTATTTGCCAGCCACACATATGACACTGTTCTCTGAGATGGGTTCTCCACACGGGGACCCAAGGAATGTCTATCCATCCTCTCTTTGCAGATAACACCTCTCTGAGACAAGACCTGAGCAACTGCCTGACCAGAAGAACTTCTAGTACCCATTCCTGCCCCAGGACTTATGCTCTCCTCCTCCCTGCATTACACACAGCAATCGCTGCCCAACGCAGCAGAGGAAGCATTCTTGCTTTTGCCAATATTTCAGTGTGTGTGCTTGAGGGGACAGTGGGAGGAATGGTAAGAGATGGTTAAGGATGCTGCAAGTTCAGCTGCTTGGATACAACTGTCCACCACAGCACACACTTTCCAGAACGGGATGCAGCTGTTTTCAAGCAGCTGCACAAGCCACATCAACATCCTATTTGGTTTGGGCCCAAATTAATCTCCATTAAATAGTACTGGTCCCAATACAGACCCCTGAGGGACACCACTCATCACTGATCTCCATCTGGACATTGAGTTGTTGACCACTACCCTCTGGATGTGACTATCCAACCCATTCCTCATCCACCAAACAGTCCAATTTAGAGAGAAGGATGTTGTCAAAGGCCTTACAGAAGTACAGATAGATGACAACCTGTTGGATAGATGCAACAGGTCACTGCCAGATACACTATTATTTAAAGCACACTCTGAGATATGTTTCTCCATCTGCCTTTCCATGTCTTTCACATTTTGAACAGAGATTTTAAAACCTGAACTAGCTGAGAAATAGATTAGAAAGCAGGTGGCAAGAAACCTAATTATTCTCTTCTGTATATGGCTTTTGTATGAATTTGTAAAACATCTGTAAGTGTGCCTTGGGCAGCTGTCCAAAGAGCTCTGGAGGAGCCAACTTGATTCACCAAGACTGTTGCCTCTGCAGGAATACACGATGCTCTTACTCAGGGGCTGACTTTTGTGCATCTGAAATAACAAACCTTGTTCCATACAGCAGGCAGTCCTTTCTCTTGGACACGCCATCAGTTACCTGTATTTTTTTGTGATGGAGTTATAAATCCACATCTTTAAGCTACAAAATGCTTACTCAAGTAGTTAAGATCCTGTTTAACAATGGTGTACTTTATTGGAACAATCGCCTTTGGATGCTCTCTAAACACAAATTAATTCCAGGATTGGTTTTATTAGAGGACAAATTTTCTTGAAGCAGTTTATACAAAAAGATCTAAGGAAAATATTGGAAGACAGTTCAGGCCATAGTTTGGACTTCCAGTCTAAACCACTCAAAACCTTACAAAACCATTCTGTGTCTTGTACTTAATGTAGGCTGCCAACATCTAAAGGTATGAAAAGTCTTAGAATCCGATTGATTTTTAAACCTACTTTTTCCCATTATTCCAGCTTGAAAGCACACAATGAATTCCTAAGGCCAAACTTTGATTATAATCCACTCATAAATCAGACATCCAGGAGGATTTGTAAATGATCATTGAAATAATGTTCAAAACCAAGTTTCAGTACGAAAATATTCTTTTTAAAAAAAAAAAAAAAATCCTTATTTTTTAACAGGTACACACTATGCAACCTAAACCAATTTAATACTTTCTTGTGAAACTCTTAAATCATTTTCTAATAGCTTACTAACTTACGAGGAACTAAAGCAACACATATCCAAATACTGCAGTAAAGCACAGAGAAAAGCACACTTTTTAAAAGGTACTGCAAGTATTTTAAACAATCAAGTAAAAATGGTCTGTAATATCACAGAGAGGGGCAATGCCCTAAGTTACTACAGTGTAAAATAATTTTACAATCTGTAGGAAGTTGGCGTTCACTACATACACTGACATTTGCTTTTATTTCTTGAGTATTGCATTCTCGAGTATGGACAATGAAGTCAGACTGGTCATTTTCATACTCTACCTACCATTATCAGCTCTAAGTGGGTAATTTGTGACCTCTTTAAGAGCTAAGTTATGCATCTATATTCGTTTGTTCCACAGACAGCCAGAAAAGGCCAAATTCTATTTGATAACATGTTACTACAAGACTACTGAGTTTTTGATCTCTAAAACCACTTACCTGCCACAGCTTGCATAGAAAGCTCTGTTTAATGAAGTATTTGTAGCATTTCTTACAGGCTGACTAGGGAATACTTGAGATAAACTACTGTTAGCAAAAGACAATTGCAACTACTGCTGTCCAAAAAAAGGCAGCTTTTTACAGATGATCAGCATTCAAATAAATACACACACACACACACACAAAAAATAGGGAATATTAGGGGAAAAAAAGTTTCTCACATCACTGCAAATTCATGTTTAAAGGTCCAAATAACATCAGATGAATTTCTGAACACAAATGTAAGCCCTTACTTTCCATGAGTGAAATCTAGGGGGAATGGAAAGAGACACATAGGGAAAGCATTTCCATTTGACTTCAGTGGACTTGAGAACAAATCCAGAGCACAATGTGGATACACAAACTGTAAACAAACCTGCCTACAACCTGGCAAAGATGTAAATAACGAAGTAACACAACCTAACAGATGTTTTCTATGCCCCTGTTCCTCAACAGAAGCATTTAGTTGCAAAGAAGCACCACAGTAAGATCATGAATGATAAAGTAATTAATAATCAGCTCAGCTCCCAAACAAATGGAACTTGAAATCCTTACACTACTTTAAGAACTGAGGAGAAGTTTTAACAGTTGTTTTCCAGACCACCGGCACATAAAGGAGTATATTGCACACTGAGAAAATAGAAGGCACAGCTGGAGAAACATTTCTTTTAGAAGCAGAGGTGAATAAAGCAAGTTTATCCTCAACCAGCCACTACTTGTTCCCATGTCACTGCGACTTTTGAGATACTATTGTGAACCTGATTGGGAACAGATCGAGGTAAATATAATCCTTCATGTCTTTTGTGGAGGTAGCTAGAGGAAGAAATGGTGACTTGGTTATATTTAACCCACAAAAGCTCCCAGATCTACTTAACCACACAGCCTCACAAACAGATGCACCACCACAAGCAAGGAGGGGGCATATGGGCTGTCAAAACTATTACCACCAAAAGAAACACTGGCCTGAAGCTGCAGCTGATCTGTGCCACAATTAGTCTTTCTACTTTTCTAATCATAGTAATAAAACAAAGCAAGCTTTTATTCATTTTAAAGAACAGCACCCTAGAGGAAATATTGCATCTCCCTTATTCAGCACAACTGTTTATCTCTACAGCTAAGAGCACTCTTGGAATTCAGTATGTTTCAGACTTAACAAGCATCTGGCACAACAGAAGTCAAATGGACAGTGTAATAAAGTCTCTGCTTCAGCACATTTCTAAGTTTGAGGTCAGCCCCGAATTCACCATTAACCTGATTTTGGTTTTAAACGTCACATACTAGGGACACCTTTTCTTTTTAGCTTACTATTGACTTGCCTGGGAGAGGTGGAAATTCTGTAGTTTAAGGACTCATCAGAGACTGTTTACATTAAGAGAATGAAAAGCAGAGATTCCCAGAAGCACCTGAGGGGTAATAGCAGTAATTGTCTTCCCCAGTATTTTGCCATATTTCATGAAAAGTGGAATGCAGGGAAGGAATAAACAAATCTAAGGGGACAACAGTTCCCAACATAAATCAAACAGCAGGATTTTCAGGTGTAGCAAAGCCCAGCCAAACTCTCCTTCTTCCAAGGTAAGTTGATGAAAAGAACAAAGCACAACAGTCCAACACAGGAGACCTGCAGTCTGGTCCCAGCTCTTTCACTGCACAAGATGACATAGCAAGTCAAGTAACTTCAGCTCTTCAGATCAGCTTCCCTTCAGTAAAACAGGGAATAATACTTCATGGTAAAGTGCTGGAGACCTACAGATGCTCTGGTATACCAGATGTATTATATGAGGTGGTTCCATCCACACTCCAAACCTAAATAAGGCTATTTTACACGGAAAAGGACTGTAAACCCCTCACATAACCATCTGCTATAAAGATTCAAGAAAGGGTCCAAGTACAAAGGAAGGTTGGTAGTAGGGAAGAGGGAGAAGGAATGCTGTTGTTTATGTGATGCTTGAACTCCACACAGAAGGAAACTTACCTTTACTACTAAATTAGTAACACAATCCCATTATTGTGTTACATTCATCGGTACTGTAATTGTCTCTTCCTTTGTCAGTTAGATTTCTTGTTGTTATAACAGCAGCAACAACAAAATCTGTGACTGGATCTCAAAACTACAGCTGTCAAACATTTCCAAGAGAAAATCAGTCTCAAAACACCAATTGTGCAGAACAAGAAATTAACCCCAAGATGACTATAACAGTCAACTGTAAAGTAAGGATTTACCATGGAGTCCCCCACACCTCTTACCTCTAGCATAGGGCGGGCACTGTCATGGATTGAAAGAATGTGCGTAATGTTGTTCTTACTCAATTGCTCTACATCTCTGGCATCTGTGATAAGGGAAAAAAAGGAAGATAATTTCTTTAATCTCTTGAAATAGTCCACTCCCCTTTCCATTGTGCATGTTGAAAATTGCTTATCAGTGGTACGTTTTGAAGCTTCATAAAGTAAAGCAAAACCCCAGATGCAGCTGTTCTAGAACACCATTATTAGAGTGGGTAACGGGAAGAGACACTTCTACTCCAAAACAAATTATGTACTATATAAAGAACAAGCTGAAGTGACTCAGGAATGTGTTCTTAAGTCAGAAGTTTCATGTATTTTGCATTTGAAATATAAGTCTGTGTGCTTGCGTGCAGGTGACGGCCATGTGAAAAAGCAGTCAGAGCTTTACAAGAAATAGCTTACCTCCTCTCAACCCACAAATCCCCCTTCAGGAGATGTATTTTCACTTGGGAGATAGACCTTGTGATATCCAGGTCTGGGAAGTGAAGCCAACCATATCATTTGAACTGAGGTATTAAGGAGCAAGCCAAAACAATAACTAGATTCTTACTTCCTGTGGACTAGTAGGGAAAAATATGCATTTAGCAAATACATACCATCATTTTAAGTCTGAAGACAGATCGAGATGATAAAGATATCGAACATATGAAAAAGTAAAGTACTACAGCAAGGAAGTGCAGTTGTGACCTGTAACCAAGGGGTTTCAAACATTTCAAAAGTGGAAAGCAAACTGGAATGACAGAAAAACTGATGCTAGAATATTGCAAAAGCATAGGTTTGTTTCTAAGAGAAAGAAGGTAAAATAGATTATCTGTCATCAGTAAGCAACCTTCCCTATACTAAACCATTAGCATGCCAGAAAATTACCTCAAAGAATCACTAATACAGGTAAAAGTTAGTTTGTGCCCATTTACTTTGGACCTTTTTGCTTGAGAAACGCACAGAGTATCACAGCAATTACAGCAGTGGTTTTGTGATGTGAACACCTGCCTTCCAAATCTGCCCATACAATCTGTTCACATTAGCCTGGTTGCACACAAAAAAAGAGCCTGACCACAAAGGTTTCAAACCGGCTCTCTCTAGGTACAAAAATAACAATAGCATCACCTGTACATTCTTTATGTACGTGCAAGAGTTCAATTAGCATCTCTTGCTTCATCTTATTCCACTCTAAAGTTTCAGTGCCTTTTCTACATCACAAAGAGGAATTGGACATTTAATTATACTGCCCCATAGACAAGATCCACATGAGCATGGTAACAGGCAGTAAAACTTAAACCTAATCCAATCATGAAAGCTTCTCTAAGGCTAATAAAATGGAGGGAAGAATCAAAACTGCACTGATTTCACTTGCTACTGGTCAAGCCTGCACTATCACCACAGATGCCTAATCCTTCAGGAGAGAATTAACACACATTCTATCTGAAACAGAATTAAGGTATAGCTTCACAGAACAATTACAATTTCCTAAAAGTCTCAGAGTGACCATTTCAAAGAAGAAACACTACTGTTTGCCAAGACAGGTCTTCTAATCCATCCGACCTTCAGATTTTTTTTAACAATTTATAGGCCAGTCTTGAATCCTCTGAGAAGACCTAAGCAGGCAAAGGTTTGGAAGCCCAGAAGCCAGTCTAAGTGTCCCTAAAAATCACTGCTTTCTGCTCTCCAAAGGCTAAGAGCAGATTTCAGGGTTGCTAGCTGGAACTCACGGTGTTAACAAACACCTAGCACAACAAGGTTGCTAATCTAATTATTATAATAACAACATGATGACCCACATGGCTTGCCACACAAGGCAAACAGCTTTAAAAGGAGATATGACCCATATTAAATGTTGACTGCTTTGAACCAGTCTGAAGGGCCTAATGGACACAGTACAACTCAAAGGGACTGAAATATTTTAGTTCTTCGGTTAACCAAAGACATAGGCTAAAGGAATTTCAACAAATCGAAACCATACAGTAAGACAGTGAGATGTCAGGTATTCCTAGAAACAAGTTGGAAATGGCTAACTCAGACCTACATCCCACTGTAGCCATCAGGTCTTCAATATATTTAGGAAACAACCATTCAAATCACACAAGTAAAGGAGAAACAGCTTACCGGACAATGACTGTGTTATCTGGACCTAAACTTTAAACAGTTTACAAAGGGGAAATTCCCCTGGTTCCCCTGGCACCTGCCATAAGTCTCTACAGATACTACAGACAAAGCTATTTAAACAGCAGTACAAATGAGATATCCTGTCACTCACGGTCTCATACCATAAATTAGAAAAAAAAAATGAAGGGGTTATAGAAAGGACCACCAAAAGCCAGAAGAATCACCATAATCACAGCAATTCTAACTCCCTTAGAGTAGCATGATGCTGTACAACCACACTCAGGCTCACATTTTGAAGTCAGTGTGAAAAACCCCATTTCCAAATTTAAAGATGAAAGAAACCTATCAGAGTCCATCTTGTGCATCCTTAAAGAGTCCTTCAAATGTGGTATTAATCTTCACAGTAGGTTAACTAATATTCTGTTTCACACAGCAAAATGCTTCTCAGCTGATGTGGACTTTCGAGTAAAGCCTTCAGGAAACTCTCTCCTCACACAGAAGGACACAATTCACACTGGGGAAGTCTTTCTCTCTCCCTCCTGTGCCCATAATTAGCTTTTTTTCCCTCAATTTCATTCTATGACTACTAGCTCAACCTCTACTCATATGCAAAGAGCTGCAAACAATCGCAAAAGTAATGGCAAAGTCATCAAAATGGGACCCAGGGTGGGGAGGGGGTCAGAATTTGTCTCCCTGTAGCTCTGTGTGGCTGGAGAGCAAATCACCTGTGCATCCATCCCCAGTACGCAAAAGGGAGACGCTGTTGCTCCAACCACTCCAATCAGTGACTGAAGGACTCCAATATGAGGGTGATGGAAGCTCAAATGTATGTATAACCATGCTCTCTTACTTTAGTTTTTAGTACCTCCATAGAGATGCAAGGTGAGGAATAAAGATTTCTCCCTTTGTAGAGTTAGATGGGAAGAAACAGCTGTAGTATCTTTTCCACCTCTACTGCTAACAACTAAATAAAAAAGCATCCTGCCAGGAATGGGGAAAAAAAAGCATTAGTGATATGGCCCTGATCTGCAACACTTAACTGCAACTCACCTGTGAATTTAGAAGATTAAATGTCTCCACAAAATAACTGAGATTATTTTAGTTTTCATTTTGTCACCCTTCCTCCCATTAGCCAGCCATCCCAAACTAAAGACATTCCTTCTCCAAAGCCTACATCTCTGACTTTGTTGTTAGTCTGAAAAGATACACGCTCCTATAACAGTAAGTTATAGGAGCATTAGTTAATATTACTATTAATTAGTGTAAAAGTATTAAGTTTTCAGTAGAAAATTTTAGGTTATGTATACAAAACCAAGGTAAGTGCTTAGAGAGGGCAAGTCAGCCCAGTATGTACAACAGTATTAAGTGTCAATATTAAGTGTCAATACACAGATATATGGAAACTAGTTTCTTCCTTTTTTTTTTAGATAAAGCAAGTTTTTGTCTACAGTTTATTTTCTGCTTTGGAGAGAACTAGAGATAAGACACCTAAAGGAGAATCTCCTCTCCAGTGGTTCAGAGCACTCAGAGCTATTACTGAGAATGGTTTCCCATCAGGAGAGCTTTGCTGCAGAGTCCAGTGATCTTCACTGATAAAGACACAAACTAAGCATATGAACAAAAACTCCACAGCTCCTGTACCCACTTCATGCTATGTTCTAATACATACTTTGTTCCAGCCTCTCAGTAGAACCTTTTTGGGGAGTGAGAAAGGCAGGGAAAAGGGTCCAGTATGCTGTTTAATGGGAGTACCTATAAAATGCCTTCCTTCAAAAGATGAACCTGAAAAAGGGAATGGTTTCTTCACCCTCTCCTGTTTTCTGTACCTGAAATAAAGCCTTACAAAAGGGAACTTTTCCCAAAAAAAATAAGCAGCTCATCACAGGAATTAATTAGATCTAGAAAAACAGCAGAAAGACTTCGTGGGCACTGCCTTTTTATACACTTAGTAAGGGGAAGGGCAGAAACTTTCCCACAACTCCCCAGTTCATTCACAGCAACACTGGACTCTTTGGGGGGAATTAAATCTCTTATTGTGGCTTTCCCCTTCAAATCAAAAAGCCCCTAAATATTCCATTGGAAAAACTTGAATCTTCCAAACATGATTACAGGCAAGGAAGGCCATGAGCTCTTTAATATTCAAGGTAAAAACACTCTTGAGTCTCTGGTGCTCGCTACTGCTATATCTTTCAGTTTGGAACCAAACAAGCATCCATGTAGAACCTCCTATCAGAAGGAATGGTATTTTTTTTTTTTAATTTTTGCAGTGTAACAGGCTAAAATGTTCTGTCATAACAGTCTCTTAAGGAATAAAGCACCTATTTTCATCATGAGCACAGGTGCCTTTCAAGGGACATGGGCATGCAATCCTACAATAAATTCTTTGTCTTTTGAGAGGATTGAATTTCATCTGTAAGGTGCAACTGGAACAACCCAAAATTTCTCCCAAACTAGAGGCAGAAAGAGTTAACTTCCTCTTTCTCTTCCCTCATTTTTCTCTTAGCCCCCCACCCTCTCATTAGCAAAGAACTAACTCCTCATCAACTTTCACTGAAGAAGCCCAAGAGCTCTGTTTCCTTCTGGGCTTTCAGACCAAACTCAGTCTTGGTATTTTGTATGGACATCTGTGATACTTCTTGAATTTTTCTGCCCTCTAGCTGTGCAATCTCAAATACACTCTCTCAGGAACACATCACAATTTTAATTCTGCTACTGATGAGCAGAATCATGCTTATAGATCTTACAAGATAACAAGCACTTAAAGCACATGCCATGATCTATGGTTTTTCAGGAAAGTTTTCCAGACACATACTCAAGTTCTGTGGACTTAGGGAGATTTCAGAATGCACTTCAGTGCTTTCCAAGATCAGGACTACACCTAACTTTCCACCCTAAAGACCCTAAGGTAGTTACAAAAGCCCCTCTCATTCTATGTGCCTAAAGGTTTGCGAAGCAGCAAACCAGAAGCAGCAAGCTCAGCTCCCGTTTCTGCCACAGATTTATTACACAAGGTTTTCTTGGGCCTCAGCTTATCCCACAGACAAATGTGGAGGAGTTTGCTGTGCTTCTGTTGTCATAGATTGTTTGTATGTTCACTAGGCCTAAAAAGACAGTAGGAAAACCTATATATAAAGTAGAAATATTGCTGAATAATAATTCCCCAATCAGAACAATTGCTGAATTCCCTCTCCAGACAACAGCCCTCCAGGGTTAC